CACCCTCCTGCGGCTAGTCTGAGACCAGTGGTCTATCTGCCAGTTCAGTTCTCAGAGTCTTTGGCATGCTGATTAGGATCAGATCCACACTCGATGAATTTATGGGATCACTTTCCTGAACTCTTCCCTCTCTGCAGTCTTCCTGATTCTTTCCTGTTCCCTGAGGCTCACCTTTTCGGTCCTCTAGCCACAAAGTTGGGGTTTTAGGTGCCATGTACTTTCACCACAGGAGTCCCTGGGTTTGGCAAATGGTTAAGTGCTTGACTACTAGCCAAAAGGTTGGCAGTTGGAACCCACAGAGAAGCTTTAGGAGATAGTCCTGGTGATCTGCTTTCTAAATGTCACAGCCTTGAAAACCCTATGGAACAGTTCTATTCTGCACACTTGTGGTCACTATGAGTCAGAATCAACTCCACAGCAACTTAACAACTTTCACCACCGCCCTAAGTCTAGGAAAAAACAGCTTAAACATCTTTCTGTCTCAGTCCTCGTCTATAAAATGTGGATAATAATAGTACAGTGACTGACACATCAAGCTTGATAAATCTTAGCTAATATTATTTTTATTAAATTCTTAGCTTCTCAAAATTGTTACTACAATGGTTTTCTCAGGTTTAAAAGCAGTTTTTATCCAGGTAGATGTGTATATGAGAAAGGCAAATCATGCCCTGGGTATTATTCAAATAGTTGATTCAACTAATTTTTGGTCCTTGTCAGTAGTTTTACTTTCTGGTATCTTTAATTATAACTATCAGCTCCAGGTTCCAGGATAAATAGTTGGGGTTTTGACATGTAATTGTTTCGGTTAGTGAATAGATCATTATGGAGAATAGAAATGGAACAAATAATCCCTTCTGTTAATCAGCTTACATTTTAGCTAGAGAGACAATAGAATTATACATGAATCAACTAGAAAGCAGTTACAAAGTAGTACTAATATGTCATAGATAAAGGGTGACCATACTTCACAGTTTGCTTGGGATAGTCCTGTTCTATTTTTTTTACTTGTTTGTTGTGTTTGTGTTTGGTGTGATTTTAAATAGAATCTCATTTCACAGAAGTGGCCTGGTTAGGATAACAAATTATATGGCCAATTTATAGATACTACTAGTTAGTTTCAGAGGATAAAAAAAAAAAAAGAAAATAATCACCATGCATGTCTTCAGGAAGTTTGCTCGACCTGCTTTATGTTAGGCCTGGAAGTGGGAAGGAGCAGAGTGGGTCTTCAGAGAGCTATGGGTTAAATTGAGAGGACCCACATAATAAGCAACAGAAAAGACTTAGAATTTTGAATAGAAATTGTGGGAAAATACTGTTATAGAAACCACAGTTATCTAGTAATATGCAGGACAGACAAATGGCAGGCACAATTGTAATAAATAGATATGAGGAGATGTGACCTTGGATTATGTTGGTTTTGCTTTTCTACAGATTTTTGAATTCTATTTTTTAGGAGATTACTACAAAAGATAGTGTTTAAAAATTACAATCTAATATAGAATGCACTGAAGTTCATATAGTGAATAATTAATATATTTTCACTTCACAATCAGAGGACTTTAGAGAGATAGACTTTTTAACCTGTTTTTCCTTTTACTTCACTGAAAATTAAAATATTAATATTAACCACAGGAAAACAATTATTTCAATGCTGCTGAAATTCCATGATAATTATCCAACCGTTTTTGGTGGCCAGGGTTAAGTGAAGCAATGACTTGCTTGAGGCTAAAAAAAGAATCCTAATCATTCCAAAACAAAAACACACAACAAAGTCCAAGCTGACCTTGAAATATGGTTTGCATATGGATAGTTCCCTGGGGACTTTTGTTTTTGATCCACAGGGCAATAGGAGAGGCAATCTTAGTCATTAGTGATAATGGGCCATGGTAACCAAACCCATTGCAGTTAAGTCCATTCCGACTCATAGGGACCCTACAGGACAGAGTAGAACTGTTCCATAGGGTTCCCAAAGCTGTAAATCTTTATGGAAGCAGACTGCCACATCTTTCAGAGTGGCTAGTGGGTTCGAACTACCTATGTTTCAGCTCAGCAGCTGAGCACTTTTAACCACTGCTCAACCAGCGCTCCTCAATGGGCCATGGTAGCAGTTTGAAAAACAACTCTGGCCATGAAGTCACTGTTTTCTACCAAAAATGAGTTTCTTATCTGGTCCCTCAGTCACAAGAACAGTTTGTTGAGGAGTATGCCCATGTCTTAATACTCTGAAGTGATTCACAGGCTGGCTATATGTACTGAGCACCCACAAGTTACTTCCATTAAAAAATATGGTCACTGTAGCTTTTATTTTATCTCTAGCTAAAGGCTCATGACAGAATCTCACACTATCTTCAGGGAGAAGATGCTGGATAGAAGTAGTTGGTAGTTCATTTGAGGAAATTCCTAACTGGTTCTGAGAACTTTAATTTACTCCTCATAAAAATCCTCTTTGTACATTTTACAAAGGATGAAACCTTTTTTTTTTTTCATGGTTTAACTCAAATTTAATTTTCTGATGCTCCAGGAAAGTAACCATTCATAAGTTTTAAGAGAAGACGGTGCATCCACATTAGTTTACAGTTTTGCAGTGATTTTGCTCAATTACTTTGACAAGTGTTATATCTTTTTTGATTAGCATCACTCTGAGAATTAAGGTTGTATAAATCCTAAACGCATTAACACTTGCAAAAGTAGGGAACACTAACACCTCAATTTAATCAAATACTTTTCATGATGTATTTTGTCCTTCAATAGTCCTGCAGAAAGCCTAATTTTTAAAGTAAAATTTAGTACCTGAAATACTGAACAGTTTTAATGATATGATGTAGATTGTACTAAAAATGAATACAAACAGTAAATTCATATGTCAGTGTATTGATTTAAGCCTGCACTTTCATTCCAAACACATACCTGATTGTCATAGTTTAACAATTAATATAAATGTGGTAACCCTGTTGCTGTTGAGACAATTTCAACTCATAGCGAACCTATAGGACAGAGTAGAACTGCCCCAGGTTAGAATGAAACCTTTTTAATGGCACAGAAATTCACCTCCACTAGTGTTCATCCTATCTGTAATGGAATCACTCAGTTGCTCAAGCCCAAAACAGAGACATCAATGTTGATTCTTCCTTTTCCTTCCACCCCACATCCAATCCATCATCAAGTCATTTTAATTCTCCCTTCCAAATATATTCTGAAATTGACTACTTTTCATCACCTGTATTGCTTCAATTCTAGGCCAAGTTCTAGGCCTCATCTTTCATCTGGTCTACTGAAATAACCTCCCAACCTGACTGTTGTCCCCTTCTCCCCCAACAGTTTATTCTCTAGTAATCTTTTAAAATGTGAATATGGTCATGACACGTCCTAGCTTAAAGTCCTCCAATAGATTCTCATCTTAGAACAAAATTGAAACTCCTTATTAGTTCTGTACAAGACCATACTCCATCTGGCCATTACTTGCCTCTCCCAACTAGTTTGCAGTCACTCTCACCTTAGTTCATGCTGCCTAAGCCATATTGGTTTTCTTGTTTTTCCCAAAACTCCTTCCCTTTTTAGATCATTCCTTTACCTTTATCTGGGCTGCTCTCTCCAGAGCAGCTTTCTCACATACTTCATTCTTTATTCAAATGTCATCTCCTGAGAGACCTTCCCTGACTGCACTACCCTCGGCCATCTCCCACCTCTCTTTACCTGATTTCTCTCTCTCTCTCTCTCCTTTCTTTAGCATTTAACAGTACGTACTTGAACTGTTCTGCTTGTGTGTTTCTGTCTTCCCACCAGAATGTAAATTAGCCGGCTAAGGGCAAGCACGTTGGTTGATTTGTTCACTGCTGTCTCCAGAACCTGCCTGGCACTCAAATATTTGTTGAATAAATGAGTGTTTTCAGGGCTGTTAAGTGTTGAAGGAGACAGAACAATTTGAAAGCCTTAGTCTACCAATGTCTATGAAGAGTTTAACCTTCTAGTTAGGGAAAATGAAATATACACAAGAGAAAAACTCAAGCAAACACTTCAAAGGCAACAGAGAAATAAGCCAGTGATAGACACAAATAACAACAGAGGAATTCAGAATACTGAAAGATCTCTTCTTTAGTAGGTTTAATGTAGGAAGCAAATTTCAAAAGGAAGATCAGGATGGGAATTTGTGGGGTGGAAGATGAACATTAAAAACATTTTATTAGTCCACATTCAAATATTAGACTGACAAATGAGACACTTGGGTATTCTATTTATTGGCAATGATCAAGCAAATGGGTGGATTCTTGGCCACAGCTATATATCCAGCCCCTGATAAACTGCATATTTTCCGTCAGGTACTTCCTATACAAAACCATACCCCCTTCCACCGTGCTAAAACCTTTTTTATTTTTACTGCTGTATCAACTAGTTCCTTACAAAAAATATATCTACAAATATGCCATATCCTCATGAGACTGTTTCATTAAATGTGATAATACATATTAAGTGCTTTGTTAGGACTGTGCTGGGTGTTCATTTTAACAATAACTGTTATTACCATCCACAGAAGAGAAATCTAACTGACGAATGACGCCGGCGAGATTTCGTTCCTCAAAGGGAGATGGAAACTGAGGTAAGAAAAGAAATCAGGCGTGGTCCACAACTCCAGCTCAAATTGACAAGATTATCGGCCGCGCCCGTCACTCAGATCAACCGCTCCTTCGGTCCAGTGTTGCCCACAGGGTCGTGGCAGCCTAGGTTCCCGGAAGATAAACACATCGAAAAAGGCGGGGCAGAAGGCGGGTTCGGGATGAGTGAGTGGCCAGCTAAAAGTGATTGGCAGCTGCCATGTGCACGTGCTTTGAGCTTCGAACCAGCTGTCGCGAGAATTCGATGTAAACAGACTAGTTCCTCTGTCCTCTGGCCCGGGTAGGGTGGACAGGAGTCTGGAGCATGTTGATTTTCTGAAAAAGCCACGAAGGTGTCGTCTGCAAAGAAAACAGGCATGTCTATAACTCCTCCCCATTTGCCTTCGATCACAACCGAACCTCACAGCTCGGCTTCACCCGAACTTACATACAGCTGTGTTTTCCTTCCAGCCTGAGCGGATTGGATAAATTAAAGAGGCGGGTCCGCCTCTTTTCTACTTGCTGGTTGGCGAAGCTGACCTCTAAGGGCGGTGCCCGGCATTAGCCAGTGTGCTTCTGGGATTGGCTACAAAGGTAGTTCCGCTGAGGAGTGGTAGGAAGTGGTAGCCGTCAATCACGAAGGAGAGACTCCAAACAGTGAGCCTTGAGCTGGAGAACAGCGTTTACCGGCGGGAGGCCGGTGAGAGGGGTGGTGGGTCTGTGGCTTTGGGGAGGCTTGGAGAGGACGAGGGGCAGGCAGCGTGAGGGGAGAGCGTTTGGCTGGCAGGGATTCTATGGGAGAGAGGTGTCGGGACTGGGAGGGGAGGGGAAGGCAAGGGGCCAGACAGCGGCCGGGGGGCATCGGTGGCTCCGGTTGGAGGTTAAGTAGGTAGGGTTGTGCGAGTGCCTTTCAGGAGAGCCGGGCCTGAGGGGCTAGAGGGTTGTCCTCAGGGGACAAGGCCTTTAAAGGACAGGGTTTGGGAGACTATGATTCTAGAAAGAAAGGGTGGAATGGAAATGAGAGGACTGAGCGACTGGAGGTGAAGTTACCCACTGAGGAAGGGTTAGCCGGGCTACTTGAGGCAAAAAGTGTTTTGGTTCTAGGAGGTGGGATCACCATTTGAGAATTTTCAAATAAGGTGATAGAATGCTTCCTATTTGGAAATGATGATTTTAGGAGCTTTCAAGATGAGTTCCAGGCTGTGGGCTTTCCTAAGCTCTGTAAGAGATCTTTAATATTGCTGTCAATCCTCCTTTCACCTTAACCAAGTAGATAGTCAATGCTCTTTAAAACTCCTCAGTGATTCGGTTGCTCATTAGACCTTCAAGGATCAGGATTTAGTGATGTGACGGGAAAGGATAAGGGGCTTTTAACATCATATACTCACCAGCGACTCCTTGAAAGAAAAGACCTAGTGATCTGCTGCCATACAGATTACAGTCTAAAGAACCCTATGGGGCAATTCTTCTCTGTTGTATAGGGTCACTGTGAGTCAGAGTCTACCCGAGGACACACAGCAACAACATCATATTAGTTTTTATTTAGATTCTAGTGATTAGGTTACAACAGTGGGGGAGAGGGAGGTTAAAAATCTTACTTGATTACTGGTCATGCAGTCTTACTCATGGATTCCCAGCAGATTTAGTTGGAAGGTAGAGTGGTATTGCCATTGGTTCTTGAAATGTTGTACCATGTCCAGTTTCACTATCAACGTAAAATTTCAGTAAATTGTTTAATTTTGGCTCACAAGGGTAGCACATTTGTTTTCATATGCGATCCTGTGCAAAACTTCCAGTGATCTGATTTCTAGTTTACTTTAACAGTAGACCAAAAGGATCACCAAGAATCTTAAATGTTTTTGTGGTTCTGAGACCTGGCCCTGTATTAAAACCTCAGGGTAGTGTGAGAGAAAATTTTATCTACTTCCTCTTTTTCTTTTTTTCTGGTGTAATAGGAATTGCTGAGAAAATTACCTACATCTTAGGTGTTCTTTGACAAGGGATCTCTATTGATCAGACATAAGCCTTTTTTCTACCCACAAAATGATCCATTTTCTCTATCTTTTTCTTCTGGAAACAGGTTTTGTGAATGAAGCTATGGCTACAGATTCCCCTAGAAGACCCAGTCGTTGTACTGGGGGAGTTGTGGTTCGCCCCCAGGCTGTCACGTAAGCACATTTCAGATAATCCCAATAGCTGAAGAAATGACTGCTTAGAATGCCAATCTTCAGGTTTCCTTTCTCAACACTGCTTAATTTTGTAAGATCTTTTTTGTTTTTTTTGGTATATGTGCTGCTGATGCGAGCACATTTTGTAAGATCTTTTTCGGCTTTACAAGATGAGTAAATATCAATACCAAGGCCAAGTAAAAGGAATAATTGGAGGGACAAACTGATGTATTTTGCACATTGATAGAATGCCTGAAAACCACTTTGCTAAATGCTAAAGAAGAGTTATTTTCAAACTCCATGTTTAATGAATTAGTGAGTCATTAAATCAATTTAGTGTGTTAGGATTATTAAAAATTGAAATCAAACATAAGAGAAGTTATAGTTGTTTTGTGACACACACAGATATATTTGTACGTGCGTATATGTTTACTAGATTATGATATAAAATATGTTTCTTAATCTAGGTCTCATGCAGAAAGCTATAGAGAGTACATTTTTGTATTTGAGGCATTCTTTAACATTCTTTCTAGGAATTTACAATCTATTGTGGTCTTAAGATATGTAGACTTGAAATCACTATAATCAATAAAAATAAAGATGCTAATAAAACGGTACGAGAATTTAGAAGGGAGTATTTTAGTGTGGTGATCAGAAAATGTTTCATTAAGAAGGTAACATTTTTATTGGACCTTTAAAGGCTGAATAGAATTTGGGCACTTCAAATCAAGGCTACATTTTAGGCTAAGAGAATGGAGTGAGCAGAGGTGGAAAAGGCAAGGTATTTCAATAAATAAAATGAAGACATGATATAGGGAAGTTGACCTATTTGTTAGGTTGGAGTGAACAATGGAGACCTTAAGTAAGGAGGTGAAACTTGTTTTATGCCTTTTAAAATGCTCTTAGGACAATTGTAGCATTTTTGGATTATTTCTCTTAGGCAGTTTAGCATGTTACATAAAGATTGCCTTCTCAGACTATATGCATAATATGATATTTCACCATACCTTTTTTCCTCCTGCATTTACCAGCACTATATTTCTTTGCTAACTATGAACAAGCAACAGGTTAAGCATGTTATTAGCTATGAGTTAGGTGCTATTTTTAATTTTCATTTTATAGATTAGGAAACCAAAATAGAGAAAAAGTAAATTGTCCTTGGTCACATAGTCAAGAAATGTAGCTGGTATCAAACCCAGGCAATCTGTTTCCAGAGTCTTTGTTCTTAACCACTGTTCTTTGTTGCCTCACCATATGGTATTCAAAAGTTATTGCATTTTGTTATGCAGTACATAATTTTAGTGTTTTCTTTGCTCTTTCATTCATTTTTTAAAAAGTAATTTTTGAGCATTGACTCCATGCCTAAGTATTGGTTTATAGATTCTGGAGATAAAAGATAAATATGAGAAATAGGTTCCTTCCTGCAGTGGAGTTACAATCTAGTGGCAAAACAGTAAACAAGTAAATAAAGTAGTTATAGGTTGTGATCAGGACACAATGTGCTGTGATAGAGAATCATAAGTAGAGATCTACTTACTTAAGGCTGTCAGGGAAGGCCTCTCTGAAGAGGTAACAGTTGGAGATCTGAAAAGAAGGAAAGAGTATGGGAAGGAAAATCCAGACAGAAGGAACAGCTTGGGGTATTTTAGGAACTGAAGTTGCCTATGACTGAAACAGAGCAAGGAGAGGGGCAAAAAAATGAGGTTGGAGAGGTAAGCCTAATCAAATTTTGTAGGTCTCTAAGGCATGTTGTTTTGTTTTATAGGAGTTAGGATAACTCACATTATCTTCTTCATATGCACTTTTTAACATCTCTCTACAATGAATTTGATTTGGTATTTTTAAAAATTATTTTTCTCCACTTGCTAATATTTATACTTCCCATATAAAATATCTTAATTTAGTGCCCTTAACAGTGTAATTTTTTTCCCTCACTTTGATATATTTTAATGTTTTCCCATGCCTTGTCTATGCCAAAAGCTCTATGAGGACATTTTAATAACTTGTTCTAGTGCCTGTACCTGCAGCAAAATACAAGTTCATCTTGGTACATACAGGTAAGGGACTAGGTTCATAACCAGTTTAAATGGAAGATCACTAAATACTGAGTCATCAGCAATAGTTTTTCTTGCTCTAACTAGGGCGTTCTTCTGCTCTGACTCAAGAGGAGGTGCCTGCCTTAGCCAGGTCTTCTGTTGTGATTCCTTAAATATGAGTTAGACGTTATCTCTATCAAGTTAGGAGAGCATGACTTTTAAGAAGAGATAATGTTAAAAATTGTTAACTTCCTCTCTATATGAAAGTTCAATGACTACATTATTTTGTCCCTCTTTTTTGTTTTAATGTTGTCATCTTTTACATATTGATGTCTCTGTTTCCCTATTTTCAGTGTTATAGCTTTGACTTATTTTTGTGACTTCCCTATCTGGGTTGATATCTGGTTGTTCTGTCCTGTCATTTGCATTTTATAACATCACAAAGGCTTATAAAAATGGGAATTAGATAAGCAGAATTATCAGGTGATAAGAGTTGCCCTTTTTTTTTCTTGTTTAAATATATGATCAGTAAGGCTTCTAGGTAGAGTTTTTCCATGTTGTGTTTTGACTTAAGCTGCCATGATAATTTTTCTCCATTTCACCCTTTTCCAGAGAGCAGTCCTACATGGAAAGTGTTGTGACTTTTCTACAGGATGTTGTACCACAAGTAAGTGTCTATGTGTGGTTTCTTTGGGCAAGGAAGCTCTGAAATGTTCTATTTTCTAAACTTGACAGCAGTATTATCAATTTCAGAAAGATGTTTGAAATTTTAGCATTCTGAGCATTCGTAGGGTGGAACTATACTTGTTATTGTGTAGCTATGCCTCGGTTTTATGCTGACAGTGGCACAGCTAATATTCCTCAGGACTTGCTCTCCTAAGAGGAATTAAGGTGAGATGTTAGTTGAAAGATGGGACTTGGGACTCTCTGTTGTTGTTAGATGCTGTCCAGTCAATTTCAACTCAACAACCTCATGTGACAGAGTAGAACTGCCCTATAGGGTTTTCTTTGCTATAATCTTTATGGGAGCAGATCACCAGGTCTATCTCCCTCAGAGCCACTGGGTGGGTTCGAACCACCAGCCTGTTTAGTTATCAGCTGTGTCTTAAACATTGCACCACCAGGGCTCCTTTGGGACTCTGTAAACCCCCCAAAAACAAACCTACTGCCGTCCAGTCAATTTCGACTTATAGTGACCCTATAGCACAGAGTAGAGATGCCCCCTAGGGTTTCCAAGGATGTAAATCTTTGCAGAAGCAGACTGTCACATCTTTCTCCCTCGGAGCAGCTGGTAGTTTTGAACTGCTGACGTTTTGGTTAGCAGCCAAGCATTTTAACCACTGTGCCACCCGTACTCCTAGGGACTTCCTAGTTGGGTTCTGTTTCCAAAATTTCTTTTTCTCTTGTCCTAGTTCAGTGTTGCCTGTCTGAAGTGAGAAAAGCAATATAAGCTCTGCATTTTATTAACTGTTATTGTTAAGTGCTGTTGAGTCGGTTCTGACTCATAGCAACCCCATGTACAACAGAACGAAACACTGCCCGGTCCTGTCTTGAGCCCATTGTTGCAGCCACTGTGTCAATCCATCTTGTTGAACTAGATGTTATAAAAAAAAAACCCCAAAACCCTGGTAGCATAGCGGTTAAGAGCTCAGCTATTAACCAAAAGTTTGGCAGTTTGAATTTACCAGCCGCTCGTTGGAAACTCTATGGGGCAGTTCTACTCTGTCCTATAGGGTCGCTATGAGTTGGAATCCACTCGATGGCTATGGGTGTCTGGGGCACAATTCAACCACATATTATACCTGGGCACAAATCTACCTCTACTTTCATATCAAACAGTATTTTTATGCCAAACACAAAAGCTTGTTACTCTAATTTGTTTTTCCGGCATTGGTGATTTCTGTATACTATATAGTCTTTTCTGGTGGTAGAAATTAGGACTGTTAGGTTTTGGAGAAGGATCTCTGGTAGCACAGTGGCTAAAGTGCTTGTCTGCTAACCAAAAGGTCAGCGGTTTAAACCCACCAGCTGCTCCACAGGAGAAACATGTGGCAATCTGCTTCCATAAAGATTTACAGCTTTGGAAACCCTGTAAGGCAGTTCTACTCTGTCCTATAGGATTGCTATGAGTCAGAATTGACTAGATGGCGGTGGTTTTTTTTTTTTTTAATTTAATTTTTTCCCTTTGAAATAAACCAAAGTTGTATATATGTGTGTGTATTTTACATTCTCACTCTCCTAAAGCATTTTTGTCTTGAGTTGGGTAAGCTGTTGATCAAGTGAGTAAAGATTTGCGTGCACAGCCCTAAGAGAGTAAGCCTCTTACTATTCCTTTCATATATAAATGTGAGAATAAAGAATGAGAGCAGCCCTACTGGGATCATCTCTAGTTCATTGTTGCCTCAACTTAACGTATCACTTGGCACACTTGTCAAAAAATAATGATTTTTTAGGCCCCTCTCCAGAAGAGTCTGACTTAGTAGGTTGGAGGTGGTATCCAGTAACTTGTATCTGTAGTAAGAGTCTCAGGTGATTCTTGTGAAGTGGAATCTTTGGGAAATACTGATCTAGTGGAACTTCTCAAGGGAGAGCTTTTGGTATTTTCTCCTTAGTGGTAAGGACGGTCTCCTCTGACTTCCATGGTCTCTGTAACTGCACTCTTGAAAGATGACATTCATAGTTCCAGTGTCCAAGCTTTATGACCGAGTCCTAGAAAAGCCTAAAATCTAGATTTGAGTTGTATTAAACAAACTGTATTTCAGTTATATTAAACAAACCGTATTCATCATGGAATGTTGGCATTATGTTCAGTCAACTTTAATGAAAATAGGTAGACCATGATCTCCCACAGGCATGTAAGGAAAAACAAATACTTTCCTTTCTTGGTTAAAATGGAAATTCAAACTGCTTGAAACAACCAGAGATAACTAGTAGCAACATGTCAGTAAATGTTACATATGATAGTAAGACTGAATAGGTAATTGCTAAGAGAATGCAGAGCAAAGAAAGACGTGAAAGAGGGAGGTTCCTAAGGAGGTTACAAGTAGCATTAGTTGAAATGAATGGAAAGGTTGGCTATTTGACGTTGAACAAAACTGGGTAGCTAGATATAGTAAGCAACAGAGCTGCTGTGGTGGTAGAGCATGGTGTTCTCTACACAAGGAGTACAACTGGGGCTGAAATCCAACTTGTTCCCCAGAAATCCAACAAACCGCTCCCCTCTCTTAAGCTCTGGACCTTGTCTTAAAGTTGCAACTCCAAGGAAGGGCCTTTTTATTGTAATTTGCCTGCCCCTAGAGGGCCCCTTTTGGGAGCCCTGGTGGCTCAGTGGTTTAAAGTGATCGACTGCTAACCAGAAGGTCAGCGGTTCAAAGCCACGAGTGGCTCCTCGGGAGAAAAGTGTGGCAGTCTGCTTCTGTGGAGATTTACAGCCTCGAAAAACATATGGGGTCGCTATGAGATGGAATTGATGTGATGGCAGTGGGTTTGGTTTTTTTTCAAGGGCTTCTTTATCAAATTTTCACAAAGACACTTTGTGCTAGTAGTAACCCTGTGTTGCAAGCAGTTTTTGTTGGCTTGAGGAGAGAGGCTGTGGTCAGAGGCTTTGAGGGAGTAGTTGGAGAATTTGCTAGAGGAACAAGAATACCAGATTGAGTAATTTCTATTAGGTAGAGGATAGGGGCTGCTAAAACTGATAGGGTAAAAATCCTGGAAGCTAGGAAATTAATTTAATTTTTATGAATGTTGTACATTAGAAAGGTGATAACAGGCTGTTAAAATAATCTATGTAAATGGCTGTGAAGATTTGGATTAGAGTAGTAATTATGGATGTAAAGTTGTAGGCATGGATCTAAGAGTTAGAATATTCATTTCAACAGAGTTATATTGGCTGTCCCTTGTATGCAAGTCATTATTCTAGTTGCTGTGGAAAGAAACCAAAAATTCAGTTAGCAACATTTAATTGATCACCCATTGTCTTAGTTATCTAGTGCTACTCCAACAGAAATACCATGAGTGGATGGCTTTCACAAAGAGAAATTTATTTTCTCACAGTCTAGTAAGCTACAAGTCCAAATTCAGGACATCGGCTTCAGGGGAAGGCTTTCTCTCTCTCTGCCGGCTCTGGAGAAAGGTCCTTGTCATCATCAGTCTTCCCTCAGACTATGAGCTTCTCTGCACGGGAACCTCGGGTCCAAAGGACGCTCTCTGATCCCAGTGCTTTCTTGGTGGTATGAGGTCCCCAACTCTCCACTTGCTTCCCTTTCCTTTTCTCTCTTAGAAGAGATAAAAGGTGGTGGAGGTCACACCCCAGGGAAACTCCCTTTACACTGGATCAGGGATGTGACCTGGGTTAGAGTGGTGTTACAATCCCACCCTAACCCTCTTTAATATAAAATTACAATCACAAAATGGAGGACAACCACACAACACTGGGAATCATGGCCTAGCCAAATTGATACACACATTTTTTGGGGGACACAATTCAATCCATGACACCCATTATAATCAGGCATCGTACCAAGTTTGGAGGATACACTGTGCTGTCATAAAGGCTTCATGGTCTAGTACAGGAATTGACAATGTTTTTCTGTAAAGGGCCAGATAGTAAATATTTTAAGTTTTGTAGTTCATGAAATGTCTATCACAACTACTCAACTCTGCTGTTTATATAAAGGAAGGGGCATAGTTATGTTTCAGTAACAAGGTGGAGTGGATTTGGTGACCCTTGGTCTAGTAGAATTGATATACAGCTAAAATTCATGGCCAAGTATAAGCACCATAATAAAGATATAAACAAAGTTCCATGGTAGCATATTGTTGTTGCCATTGAGTTGACTCTGACTCATGACAGCCTTATCTTTAACAGAACCTTATGTATAACGGAACGTAACCTTGCCGGTCCTGTGCCATCATGATTGTTGGTATATTTGAGTCCATTGTTGTGACTATTGTGTTGATTCATCTCATTGAGGGTTTTTCTTATTTTCTCTGACCCTCTGCTTTACCAAACCGATGTCCTTTAGAGGAAGGAAAATAAAATTTAATTGCAGGACATCAAAGAAAGCTTTGTGAAAGAGATGCCATTTGAATCGTGGTGCAGAACAGAATAAAATCCAAGTTTGATAACTTGGTAATAATGTGGTGGAGGCAATAGGATTACCATAGGTACTTTCTTGTCTGGCAGATAAATCATGAATTTACAATTTGTATATTAGGCTTAGGGTAGTTTACTGATTAAGAGCTTAGACTTGGTGTTAGATCTGGCTTTATATTTCAGCTCTACATCTAGCTCTGGAAAAGTTACTGAGTCTTTCTAAACAGTGTCCTCATCTATAAAATGAGATAATCGTCATAGTCATCATGGATTTGTTTTGATGCTTAAAGACTATAATGTATGGAAAGCATAAAATAAAGCAAAATGGATCTTAAGTATTCTCTTTTGAAGAGAACATGAAGAGGCTAGAAATCCAGGGCCAGAGATGGAGATTTACTGCTTACAATCTGTTGAGATAACCAGATGAAGCAGTGATATTACAACTTCTAATTGTAATGATCAGACATAGGCACTTTAGGAGTAACTTTTTTTTACATTAGACATTTTCTTTACTGTTTGTTTGGCATGAGAAGAGCTTTCTAAGATTTTTCCATATTTAATCGAAAATCTTGCATTGGTACTTTGAAGTCAACCATTTGGAAACTGACTCTTCTGCCGATGTTATGTTCCAACTCCTGCTTTGTTCTGGGAATCAAAATCTTGGAGTCTAGAAATTATTTTCTGGGTCTCCAAGCATCTCCCTAAAGAGAGAATGTGGTGTTGAACTGGACATCAGTTTCTTCAGCAATCACAACTGAGTTAATTCTAGTTCTGGTCACCTGGTGGGATTATTGGCTTGTAGAAGCCCTTAGCGTATCAGTATAGCACTACATTTTGAATTAGTAATCCCACTTATGAAAGTTTATTTTAAAAATATTCAATAAAGAAGTAAGGTATAAGCTCAGAACTTTTGATTTTTGTGCTGTATGAAATTTTCACGTTTTCAAAATTTGTAGCCAGCCCAAATGTCAATAACAATCAAGGAAATTATGATAAAATGATCCCTGTAGAATAATTTTCTGTAATTAAAAATTACAGTTTTGATGACAACACATTATGATAATTATTTTCTCTGCAGTGAAAAAATAAAACAGCAAAACAACATACAGAATGATGCCTGCAGTGATTGTAGCGTGTTTTTTCAGGGGTCTTTTGTAAAATTTCAGAATAACTTTGTGCTTATGAGTGTGTGTATGTGTCTTAGAAAGTGGATAAGGTGTAAAAGGAGGAATAAATAAATCTTGTCAGTATTGGAATGAAAGTTTTGACTCTAAGAGGGTGTCATGGCTTGAATTATGTCCCCCCAAAAATGTGTGTTATCCATTTGGCTGGGCCATAATTCCCAGTATTGTGTAATTGTCTTCCATTTTGTGATGGTAATTTTATGTTAAAGAGGGTTAGGGTGGGATTGCAACACCCTTAATAAGGTCCCATCCCTGATCCAATGTAAAGGGAGTTTCCCTGGGGTGTGGCCTGCACCACGTTTTATCTTATAAGAGATAAGAGGAAAGGGAAGCAAGCAGAAAATGGGGGACCTCATACCACCAAGAAAGCAGTGCCAGGAGCAGAGCTTGTCCTTTGGACCCGGGGTTCCTGCATGAAGATCCTGGTCCAGGGGAAGATTGGTGACAAGGACCTTCCTCCAGAGCTGACAGAGAGAAAGTCTTTCCCTGGAGCTGACTCCCTGAATTTGGACTTCTAGCCTACTAGACTGTGAGAAAATAAATTTTTCTTTGTTAAAGCTACCCACTTGTGGTATTTCTGTTATAGCAGCACTAGATGACTAAGAGGGCTAGAGCAGTTGGCTCTTGCTTGAAAGAGAAAGAAGTACTAGAAAAAAAGACAAAACCGTGGCAGTACATTGACGTCCATAAAGACAGCAAGTGAAAGCTGAATTGGACGTTGGATGATTCTATGCCTCATAGAGAATAAAATATCTAAACATGGGCAAAGGAGATCCTAAGAAACTGAGATAAAATGTCATTATGTGCCTTCTTTGTACGAACCTGCAGTAAGGAGCACAAGAAGCATTACCCAGATTCTTCCATGCTTCTGTCACCTTCACAGAATTTTCTCAAAATTGCTCAATAAACAAACAAACAAAAAGCTCGATAAAGAGAAGACCACGATGTCTGCTAAGGAGAAGGGAGAATTTGAAGACATACAAAGCATATAAGTATATAAACCTTGTTATAAAAGCTTTATTTCCCCCTGAAGGGAGGGAAAAAAAGAGGTTCAGGAGTCCCAGTGGTCTGAAAGGCCTCCTTCAAACTTGTTCCTGTTTTGTGCTGAGTGTTGAGCAAAAGTCAAAGGAGAGCATCTTGGAGAATGTTGCAAAGGAATTAGGAGAATCAGTAATTCCTGAATTACTCTTCAGTTGACAAGTAGTCTTATGATAAGACTGCTACTCTGAAGAAAATTTAAATAATTATAAGGAGAGCCTGATGTAGGAAGAAAGGAAGTTGTCTTAAATGCAGTATGATTTCCTGGATTGGATCCTGGAACAGACAAAGAACATTAGTGGAAAAACTAGTGAAATCCAAATAAAGTCTGGGATTTAGTTAATGGTAATGTACCATTGTTGGTTTCTTCACTTTGACATACGTATCATGGTAATGTAGGATTAAATTACATCAGATAATTAACATTAGGGGAAAGTGGGTGAGGGGTATATCATAACTCTCTGTACTGTATTTGTAATTTTTCTGTAAATCTAAAATTACTCCAAAATAAAAAGTTTATTTAAAAAATATAGTTGTCAAATATGAAAGGAGCATGACCAAGAAGGAAGATTAGGATAAGGAGATTGAAGATGAAGTTGATGAATTAGTTGGTTCTAGTGCAGGTTTTCCTCTTCCCTAAAGAAATCAACTGCCCTATATACAACTCACTTGTTTTAAAAAAGACAATTGAAATGCAGGGTGTATAAGATCTTTTTACTTTTAAGGGTACTATGATAAGCCTGTCTTTTGTGAGTCAATAACCATTGACCTTGTTTGGTACAGTATAGAAGTTGTAAACTGGCATGGGAATTTAAAGCAGATGGCATAAACACTTAAGCACTAGGCTACTAACCAAAAGGTCTGTAGTTCGAATCCACCCAGAGGTGCCTTGGAAGAAAGGCCTTGGCAATCTACTTCCGAAAGATCACAGCCATTGAAAACCCTAGGGAGCACAGGTCTACTCGGATGCACATGGAGTTGCCATGAGTCAGAATTAACTCGATGGCAACTGGTTTTGTTTTGGTTTTGGTATATAACAGGAGTCCCTGGGCGGTGCAAATGGTTAATGTGCTTTGCTGCTAATAAAAAAGTTGAGGGTTTGAGTCCACCCAGAAGTGCCTCAGAAGAAAGGCCTGATGATCTTCCAAAAACTCAGCCATTGAAAATCTTATGGAGCATAGTTGTATTCTGACACACATAGGGTCAGTATGAGTTGGAGTTGACTCAGTGACAACTGGTTTGGTTTTGGGGTATAACACAAATTGTATATGGGATGGTAGTTTTTATATGCTTTTGATATAGCTTATACTAAATATCACCACACATCTGTCAGTTTGTGATATTTTGGCAGGGGCTTGTTATGATACTGAAAGCTATGCCACCGATATTTCAAATAACCAGCAAGGTCAGAGCTTCTGGACTAAGATAGACTAGGAAGAAAGTCCTGGCAGTCTGCTTCCAAAAATTAGCCAGTGAAAACTCTATGAATCACAATAGAGTATTGTCCCATGTAGTGCAGGAAGATGAGCTCCCTAGGTTGGAAGACACTCAAAATACACAGTGACTTCAACAATGGACTTGAGCATACTAGCAATCGTGAAAATGGAACAGAACCAGGCAAAAATTTCATTCTGTTACACATGGGGTTGCCTGAGTTGGAGCTGACTTGATGGCAACTGTATTAAATGTTCCATGAACTGAATTCCACTCTATAATTGCTGTTTTGTTGACATTCTGAATGCTTCTAAGTATATACAGTTTTTAAAAAAATTTTAAATAAAAACTTGTGCTTTATAGAGAGATGATTCACTTTGAATACTGATTAGTACTGTTGACACTTTTCCTAAGGCTTCACAGACATGTATGCTTATCTTTGTGACCCTTTCAAACTTGCAGGAACTAGCTGATAGGTTGGCTCTGGAAGCCAGATAAGAAACTGAAAAAGTAATACTCTTAAAAAGTCTTGGTAAAGTGTTAATTGTCTGATCATAGACTCCTGGGAACTAAGTAGATAAGTATGATAGTTCTGTTTATGTCCCAAGCCTTCTTATTTGTTGCCTAGTTTAGGGGTGATTTAGTTTTTTTGAATGCCTTTGAATTATAGTGACTCTTCATATAGACTTGGATCATTGTATTTTAGGTTTTTGCACTTCCTTAATAAGTTCAAAACTTTTTTTTTTTTTTTTTTTTAAATCCAGGCTGTTAGTGTTAGGTCAGAGTCCTGGATAATTTTTTTGGGAGTAATAATGTTCCAAAATGTGCTTTACCAAAATCCTAGGGGTGATGAAATTGGAGAGGGGTAGGGCTGGCTTTCTTTTAATCACTGTTTGTTTTGAACATCAGTAATATTAGTGCTGTAAAATAATTTTATTTTAACTTTTCTGTTTACTGTGCAGGCTTATAGTGGAACACCTCTAACAGAAGAAAAGGAGAAGATAGTCTGGGTCAGATTTGAAAATGCAGATTTAAATGGTATGGTTTTAAAATTTTGGGGACATATGAATTAAATTTTTGTTTGGCTTTGACCTATTGCAAAAAGAGAACCCTTGCTTTTGTCAGATTATTTTCTCTTAAAGTAACTTTACTTTTCAAAAAAATTTATTTTTAATTGAAAAAGTAACATAACCACACTATAGAAACTTCATTAGGAATAATACTGTATTGTACAACAAGTCTTAAAGTAACTGTGAACTAAGAGTGCTTAACTTTAAAATTTTACTAAGTCCAAGTAAGTTAAAAATTTCTTAGAAAGGAAGTTATTTATTCAAGTTTGGTCAGTTGTATAGGATTTATAACTGTAAAATAATCATTGGTGTTGAACTTTCTAGATGATTTTTTCTGAACAGATTTATGCAAGTTCAATCCTGTTTGTTCTCAGATACATTCCATTGGAGTTCATTAGAAAGTGTGATTAACCTACCATTCGTATCATAGTAGATACCCTGGTGGCGTAGTGGTTAAGTGCTACGGCTGCTAACCAAAAGGCCAGCAGTTCAGATCCACCAGGTGCTCCTTGAAAACTCTATGGGGCAGTTCTGCTCTGTCCTGTAGGGTCGCTATGAGTTGGAATGGACTCAACGGTAACGGGTTTGTTTTTTTTGGTTTTAGTATCATAGTAGGAACCCTGGTGGTGCAATGGTTAAGCACTAGTCTGCTAACCAGAAGGTTGGCAGTATGAACCTGCCCAGGGGCTCAGGGGAGAAAGACCTGGAGATCTGCTTTCTTAAAGATTACAGCCAAGAAAACCCTATAGGGCAGATCTACTTTTATCACATGGAGTCACTATGAATTGTAATCGACTTGACGGCTTCCAGCAACAATGGTATCATGGTGACTGTTCTCTTTCTGTTTTCAAGTAGTCTCATTTATATACCTTTTTAAAAAAAATTTGATTTATACCTTGATTTATAGCTTGTTTCTTTTGAGACACAATGCTGAAACAGGTGTAAGAAGTAGCCAGAGTACTGTAATATCCTGACTTTTATTTTGTACCAAATTCCCTATAGGTGAGGATATAGTATGTGTCCCAAGATACATCAGTTTAATTAGCAGGTTTGCTACTGTCTAACAAGAACTGCCAAGTTTCTAGTCTTTAAGGGAAATCCTTACCACCCCCTACCCTATCCTGACTTGGCCAGTTCTAACATCAACGTCTGTACTGTACTTATGGTGTTAGTTTTTATATTCAACGTATCTTTTTTAATTTTCAGTTGCAAGTGATTGGTTAGGTAAGAAAGGAGATTTTTTTTTTTCCTTTTTTTTTTACTTATATACCTGGAAAGAGCAGGGTCTTAACACGTTTAGTCTTTCTCCATTTCTTGTCACTACTTCACTCTGAATGTTTGCTTCTGTTATTTGATTTTCCTAATGAGGTTAGAACAGTGGTTGCGCAAAGCTGTCTGCTCATACCTTCAAAGTTATGTGATCAAAGAGGAAGAAGTGTTCGCTGGGAGACACAGGTGGCTCAGTTTGAGTCAGCTGCCCATCGTTGAAATAGTCACTGTGGCCAAGGATGTAATACTAGAGTTGGCTCAGGAGGTTATGCGCCTATGTCTGTGCTTGGTGGGGGATAAGATCAGTTATCAGAAAAAGGGGAGGTAAGGAGTAGGAAGTACATGAGGAACATAAAGAGAGTAGCTGCTACAGGCCTCTATTACTCTAGTGTACTTGGGTCCCCATGTAAGCTACCTCCTACACATCTCCACTTATTTGTCCTACAATTGCCTCACACTCCTTTTTCCTTAAATGCCATTTTCCCTTTAACTATCCTCCCTTACCAGCTATGCTCCAACCTCACTTATCTTTCGGGTCATTAAAGGTGCAGAACTTCTCAAGCCTCAGTGTCTGTGCACAGGGGGCATTCTGGCTGAAATGTTTTCTACCTTTATCCTCATGCACCTAGTTAGCATCTACTAAAAAGGACTCCACAGTTTCTGGACTGGGTATTGGCCGGCTGTTGCTGCTGTAAGTACATGTAACACAGAAGAAGCAGGTTTGGGAGGAAAGATTCAATTTCAGTTTACACCTCGATTTTTAAGTTTTGAGCAGAAAAACCCAGTGGTCCTCCCCCTCAATTGCAAACAGTATTCTAAGGAGAGAGAATACACTGAATATAGTGATGGGCAACATTCACAGAGAAGTTAAGATTGGACAAGGTTTTAAAGGATGAATGAATCAGAGGAGGGCATTTTAGTTGGCTAAGACCACATAGAAATGGTAGATGTCTCTATAGTAAAGACTGTAAAGTTCATGTTTAGGGGTGGAATAAGAAAAAAGAAACCAGTAAAGGAGATAAAGAACAGTCCAGGATAGAAGAGCCAGTGATAGTATGAGAGAGGATGAAAAGATAAAAGTCAAAGAATAAGGATTACTTAAACCTGCAATAGTTCTGAGGATCAATATAAAGTTTTTACAAAATTAGTAGTTTCCTTAAAAAGTAATGAAGTCTGCTGTATAACCATCCAGAGAAAGAAAAATAGCACAACAAAATACCTAAGCAGAATCTAAAATTAAAAAAAGCAGATTTTGTTCATATAATGACCTTAGGGGTTTTATATGTGGCATTTGAGGCCTTCCAAAAGTAATAACCTCTAATCGAGATAGTAGTTGTAGTAGAAAGGTGATTGTATTGAGAATCAAGAGCCCTAAGATTTGTCATTCGCCTTCGAGTAAATTATACCCAACTTGTTTTTGTCAATGATAAAATGAAGTTAACCCCTGCTCTGCATATACAGCAGGATTCATATGTGTCAGATGAGATGGTGTATACAAAAGCACACAAGTTATAAAACACCATTCTGTTCTAAGGTATAAAGAAAATTATGCCCAGTGTCTACTATTCTGAATTTTCCTAGATATTGAATCACATGCCATAAACTTTATACCAGTGAGTTCCTGTCAAAAGAAAATAGATGTTAAAAAATTACTGATGCTCTGTTAAAGATTGTGATCTTTATCATGAAGCAACAGGAAGTCAGAAACAGTGCAAGGAGGTGAGGAGGTATGCCATTAGTATACTTGTTTTTTAAAAAGGGAGCTCTGACTGCAGTGTGGAGCTTGGGGGAGCAGTGGCGGATGTAGGAAGCCAGTTATGCTTTTAGAGTAGGTGTTGTTCATGGGACGGGTGGTGTTGGTGTAAGAAGTAGGAGCTATTTAGAAATATACAAGGTTTGATAATGCATTTTCTGCTAGAGGGGATGAAGAAGGTGGTTTCTAGGTTTGTCAACTGGCTTGATAATGATGCTATTCATCAAGATAGGGAACTCGGGAGGAAGATCAGGCTTTGGGAGGAATCCATGACCTCTGAGTAGAATTTGAGCTTCTGTTGAGACCTCCAAACAGCCGTGTTGAGGAAGCTATTGAACATACCAGTTTATATTTAGAAGTTACCTGTTGCTGTCAAGTCGATTCTACTCATAATGACCCTGTAGGACAAAGTAGAACTGCCCCACAGGGTTTCTAGGGAGCTGCTGGTGGATTTGAACTGCCAGCCTTTTGGTTAGCAGCTGAACACTTAACCACTGCGCCACCAGGGCTCCATTTAGCAAAACCTACTGCCGTCGAGTCGATTCTGACTCATAGTGACCATACAGGACAGAGTAGAACTGCCCCATAGGGTTTCCAAGGCTGTAAATCTTTATGGAAGCAGACTGCCACATCTTTCTCCTGAGGAGCGGCTGGTGGGTTTGAACCGCTGACCTTTTGGTTAGCAACCAAGCGCTTACAACTACTGCACCACCAGAGCTCCTTTAGAAGTTACCAGCAGATACTAATTGAAGCAATGCGTAGAATGAGATCACCTAGGGGAGGGTATATAGTAAGAAGAAAAGGGAGTTTAGGACTTAGTTTTGAGTAATTCCAACATTTAAAGGCTAGGTAGGAAAGGAAGGGCCAGGCAAGGAAATGGCGAAGAAGAGAATTAGGAAGAAGACTGGGAGAAAGAGGATTATGCCTTGGAAATTAAGGGAAAGAGTTCTAAGGAGGAAAAGTAAGCATTGGTTACAGCTCCTGAGTAGTCTAATAAGATGCATCTATTGGATTTAATAACTTGGAGGTTATTGGTGACCAAAGCAAAAGTCATTTGGGTGGAGTGTTAGGGGCAGAAACCATTCTAAAATGAATTCAAGGGTAGATGTGAGATGAAAAAAAGAGATGACAACTCAGTTGAGGAATTTAGCTACTAAAAGGGGAAGAGAGTTATGAAGTCAAGTAAAGGGTGAGGGATATTAATTGCTTTGATTATGATTTTTTAAAACTATTATTTATGGTAAATAGCACAAAACAAATGTATAGATCGGTGAATTTTTACAAATCTAAAACCTGTGTAATCATCACCCAGGGCAAGCAAGAATATTGCTACCTAATTGCTTAATTTTTTGAATTTCATATAAATAGAATAATTCAGTATATAGTCTTTTATGCCTGACTTCTTTTACTAATCATTTTGTCTGAGGTTCATCCTTGTTATGTTGTATAGTAGTAGTTCATTCTTTTTCAGTGCTGAATAGTATTCCATTGTATCAATATAGTACTACTGTGTGTTTGTCCAGTCTCCTGTTGATGGACATTTGGGTTGTTTCCAGCTTTTGGCTATTTACTGATAATGTTCTTATAGTCTTATGCATGTCTCTTAGTGTATATATGCTCACATTTCTAATGGGTATATACCCAGAGCAGAACTACGTGGTCAAAAGCATGTGTATCTTCAACTTGAGTACATATTACCAATCTGTTTTCCAAAGTAATTGTATTGATTTACACTCTAGTTCCCAGTTGCTGTCAAGTTGATTCTGACTCATGGTGATCCTATGGCTGTCACATTAGAACTGTGCTGCACAGGGTTTTCAATGACTGATTTTTTGGAAGTTGATCTTCAGGACTTTCTTCCGAGGTGCTTCTGGGTGGGCTTGAACTTCCAACCTTTTAGTTAGCAGCTGAGTGCATTATGCATTAACCATTTGCACCACCCAGGTGCCTGGATTTATACTCACCAGCAGTGAATGAATGATCCCCTTGCTCCACATCTTTCAACACTTGGTTTTGTCATTGTAGTTTTAATTAGCATTTCCTTGATTAAAATGAGGTTGAGCTACTTTTCATGTTGATTATTTGCATATCCTTTTTTATGAAGTGCTTTTTCATGGCTCTTATTTTTCTAATGAGTTTTTTGTCTTTTTCTTTTAATTTTTATTGTTCATATTGGTTTTTAATTGTTATGGGTTCTTGACAAATCCTTGTTGCAAGTTCTGTTCTCCCACACTGTTGCATGCCTTTTCCTTTTTCTAGTAAAGGTGGCTCATGATTAACAGAAGTTCTTTATTTTAATGTAATAAATAAGATAGTAGAATCTGTCAATCTCTTATGCTAATGGTTTTTTGCATCCTGTTAAGAAGTCATTCCCTATACGAGGTCCTGAAGATACTTTTCTATATTATCTTTCAGAGCTTTATTAATTCTACCTTTGTCATTTAGAGCCAAAAAATTGCCTAGTACTGATTTATTTAACTATTTTTTAAAGGTAGGAGGCACTTAAGCATTAAGTGCTGATTGGAAATACCCAGTAGTGAGGAAAGAGTTGAAGATATAGGAAAGGAATGATTGGGAGAAGGCTCTTGAGGAGGTGAGCGAGGATAAGAGCCAAAGTGCAAGTGGAAGAATTTACTTTAGACAGAAGGGAAGACAAGTGTTTGAAATAGGATGAAATGATATAAGGATGGTACAGATGCAGGAAGATTTTTGGTAGCAGGCAAGTTTCTAGTTTGCCTAGAAATCTGTGTAAGACAGATTATCTGCTTAGTTAGCAGGGACTGGATGGAGCAGGGATCAGATTGAAAGAGGATGCAGAAGGTTTAAGGAAGTCACTGAAGAAGTTGTAGAATAGGTTTCAGAAAGCAGAGTAAATTTGTCATGTAGTTTTGAGGGTCCACCTGAGTTTGTGAGGATGAATTAATTTATAGTGGTTCCTACTCTGCCCTGTTGTATGATTTTTTTTTTCTCTAGCAGTACTTGGTTGCCATAGAACATACTAGGATGAAGTGAGTAGTTGATTTGATTCATCTACGATTGAGGTTCTGCTAGTTGAGTGCCATGCAAAGACCCCACAATAAGGAAGAAAAGGATTTATTAGTAGAAGTTACAAAAATGATTGATTACAGAGTTGAAGATGGGAGGAGAGTAAATTTAAAATGGGACTAAAATAGAGAAGGATGCTTGATGGCACAAATGGTTAAGCGCTCAACTACTAACAGAAGGATTGGTGGTTTGAACACACCCAAAGGCATGTTGGAAGAAAGGCCTGGCAATCTGCTTCCAAAACCATCTACTAGATGGCAACTGGCTTAAGGAATAGAGAGAAGGTAGAGATGTCAGTGGACCTAATGAAGTCAAAGAATGAATCACAGTGGGAATAGTAGAGCAAGCTTATTGGAAGATGAGGTTGTGATCTGAGAATACCCAAACCAAAGCTGTTGCCTTCAAGTTGATTCTGACTCATAGCGACCCTATAGGACAGAGTAGAACTGCCCCATAGGGTTTCCAAGGAGCAGCTGGTAGATTTGAACTGCTAACCTTTTTGTTACCAGCTAAACAAGAATAGTATGTTTGAATTAGTAATTTTTGAGGTGAACATTTTTGTTCAATAATAAGGCTACCCATTATAATAATGACTATATAGCAGATGTACAGTATTCAGACGTGAATTGGTAAAATTGATTACACAAGTACACATAATTCTTTTGTAGTGAATCATATCACAGTTTTTGTCAGACATATCAGGATCTAATTCCTATAAATAAAGGAACACAGTTTTCTTCCACTGGTAAATTTACAAATATTAGAAATTATAGATGATTATACTTCATATTTATATTTAATTAATTTTAGCAAAATATTTCATTTCATTTATTATTTATAGGTGGTTCTGTTTCTGATATTTATGTTTCCTGGTTCTCTAGTGACGATTTGATTTTTAAAACCTTACTTGTGCTAATAATTATAGACACTCTTTTAAAAAAAACTGTTAGTTTTATGATTCACCTTCCTGTTCATTTTCTTTTAAATGATGATTTCCAATTACCTCTGCTCTGGTTTTTTTATTGAAAAAACAATTTAAGTAATTGTTACACTAATGACGTTTAAAGAAATGCAGTTTTCTTATTGACATTGTGTCTTTGTAATTTGCCTCCTGTTACTTAATTCTAATGCAGATACGTCAAGAAATCTGGAATTTCATGAAGTACACGGCACAGGGAATGAGCCACCTTTGCTGATTATGATTGGCTACAGTGATGGAATGCAGGTCTGGAGCATCCCTGTAAGTATGAAGTTGGCTGAATTCTAGCATGATACCCAGACCTACCCAGTTGCTGTGTCAGAGTACAACTGTGCTCCATAGGGTTTTCTTTCTCTTTTTTTTATTGAGATGAAAATATACAAACAAAATCCGTAGGGTTTTCTTTTTTTGATTTTATTTTATTGTACTTTAAGTGAAAGTTTACAATTCAAAGTTAGTCTCATAAAAATTTATACATACATTGTTATGTGACCCTAATTGCTCTCCCTATACTGTGACAGCACATTCCTCCTTTCCAACCCAATATCCCTTGTCCATTCGACCAGCTCCTGACCCTCTCTGCCTTCTCATCTCACCTCCAGGCAGGAACTGCCCATTTAGTCTCATGTATCTACTTGAGCTTAAGAAGCACACTCTTCACGAGTATCATTTTATGTCCCATCGTTCAGTCTAATCTTTGACTGAAGAGTTGGCCTCAGGAATAGTTTTAGTGCTGGGTTGACAGAGATTCTGGGGGCCATGCTCTGTAGGGTTTCTCCAGTCTTGGACCATTAAGTCTAATCTTTTCACTAGAATTTGAGTTCTGCACCCCACTTTTCTCCTGCTCCAACAGGGATTCTCTGTTGTGTTCCCTGTCAGGGCAGTCATTGGTGGTAGCTGGGCACCATCTAGTTCTTCCGGCCTCAGGCTGATGAAGTCTCTGGTTTATATGGCCCTTTCTGTCTCTTGGGCTAATGCTGACCTTGTGACTTTGGTATTCTTCATTCTCCTTTACTCCTGATGGGTTGGGACCAATTGATGCATCTTAGATGGCCGCTTGCAAGCTTTTAAGACCCCAGAAGTCACTCACTAAAGTAGGATCCAGAACATTTTCTTACTAAACTTTGTTATGCCAGTTGACCTAGATGTCCCCTGAAAGCATGGTCCCCAGACCTCTGCCCCTGCTACTGTGTCCCTTGAAGCGTTTGGTTGTATTCAGGATACTTCTTAGCTTTGGTTTAGTCCATTTGTGCTGACTTCGCCTATAGTGTGTGCTGTCTTTCCCTTCACCTAAGATAATTCTTGTCTACTGTCTAGTTGGTGAATAATCCTCTCCCTCCCTCCCCACGCTCGTAACCATCAAAGAATGTTTTCTTCTGTGTTTAAACCTTTTCTAGAGTTCTTATAATAGTGGTCTTATACAATATTTGTCATTTTGTGACTGACTAAATTCGTTCAGCATAATGCCTTCCAGATTCTTCCATGTTATAAGGTGTTTCATGGCTTCATTGTTGTTCTTTATCATTGTGTAGTATTCCATTGTGTGAATATATCATAATTTGTTTATCCATTCGTCCGTTGATGGGCACCTAGGTGGTTTCCATCTTTTTGCTATTGTGAACAGTGCTGCGATGAACATGGGTGTGCATATATCTATTTGTGTGATGGCTCTTATTTCTCCAGGATATATTCCAAGGAGTGGGATTGCTGGATCATATGGTACTTCTATTTAAAGCTTTTTAAGGAAGCACCAAATCGATTTCCAAAGTGGTTGTACCATTTTACATTCCCACGAATGGTGTATAAGTGTTCCAGTCTCTCTGAAACCTCTCCAGCATTTGTTAGTTTGTGTTTTTTGGATTAATGCTAGCCTTGTTTGGGTGAGATGGTATTTCATTGTAGTTTTGATTTGCATTTGTCTGATGGCTAATGATCGTGACCATTTCTTCATGTGTCTCTTAGCTGCCTGAATATCTTCTTTGGCGAAGTGCCTGTTCATATCCTTTGCCCATTTTTCAATTGGGTTATTTGTCTTTTTGTTGTTGAGGTTTAGCAGTGTCTTGTAGATTTTAGAGATTAGATGCTGATCAGATTTGTCGTAGCCAAAAATTTTTCCCAGTCCGTAGATTGTCTTTTGACTCTTTTGGTGAAGTCTTTTGATGAGCATAAGTGTTTGATTTTTAGGAGCTCCCAGTTATCTGGTTTCTCTTCTGGTGTTTGTGCATTGTTACTTATGGATTGTATTGTATTTATGCCATGTATTAGGGCTCCTAGC